CATCTGTTGCACAAAGTCGCGAGCTAATCGGGGTTGCGGACCTTTGGCGACCCGAACACCAACATATATGGTAGGAAAAACCTTAATCGCACAACTCCTATACAGGATCTCAGAACTTGACAGGAGGGCATACTGTACGGTAGATTATCGGGGTTTCCCCTTGTCTCTCTTTTTTCCCCTTGGTTCCGGGCACCACCAGAAAAGAAAACGCCGTTTCTGCTGTTGCCATCCGAGCAAGAGACAGACAGGACGGTATAACTACCGCTCACCTTCTCCTTGTTTTCGCCGTCCCCCGAGCCTGGGTCCTTATCCGGGTCATCTTCCTTATCCGGGTCATCTTCCCAACCGGGACCACGCCCACCCCCTCCTTCGCCCATCCCATCGCCCGCTCCCGACTGCTCCCTGCGGCCCGCCGACTGCCGCTTCCGCTTCCCATCCCCCGCCGACCCATGCTTCCGTTTGTTGTCGCCGCCACCATTCGCACTGCCTTCTTTATCGGGNGTCATCTTCCTTGTCCGGGTCATCTTCCCAACCGGGACCACGCCCACCCCCTCCTTCGCCCGTCCCATCGCCCGCTCCCGACTGCTCCCTGCGGCCCGCCGACCGCCGCTTCCGCTTCCCATCCCCCGCCGACCCATGCTTCCGTTTGTTGTCGCCGCCACCATTCCCACTACCTTCTTTATCGGACCCCTCATCCCGTTCGGAGTTCCGTTCATTATTCGTCGTGCCATCCACTCCCGGACTACCGTGAGGTCCAGAAGCATCCCCACCCTTGCATTGTTTTCCCCGCTTGACCCACCGCCCGCTTGCTTCGAGTCCTTCTCTCCCCCCCCGGATGGTGCCCTCTGGTGAATTCTTCTAGCATTCCATACGGCGTCCTCAACATTCTTCGCGGGGAAGANTGCCCTCTGGTGAAGTCTTCTAGCATACCATCCGGCGTCCTCAACTCGCTTCGCGGGGAAGGCTTTTTCTGTCGTCTCCCCGTTCATGTGGACGTCGTATGACGCCGTCAAGAACTCGTCATCCAAATTCACCTTTAAAATGGTCCCATGCCCCCCTCCGCTTCCCTCCCAACTACCGGTGTGAAAGCGAGTACCGACGCCCACGCCCATGTCCCCCTGAACGGACGGTAGCGAAGGAGGTTCAGGGCAAGTTCAGGGATGAGTATCGTAAGTTGCTTTGATTTTCCCCCGAGGAGACGATCCAATTTTCTGAAATCACAACCCCCCACCCGGTGGGTAATCAAAGTTCATTGCTTGCTCCTCTCCCTTCAGCGTCCACATGCTTGACGCCCACCTTAGCCTCGCGGCGGACGGCCATGTCTCGACGAATTTTCACCCTCCGAAGAAACGCCCGAACCTTCTTCTCGTTCTCGCCAGCTGCGGGGCCATCCCTGTCACCATCTTCCGCCTTACCGCCCCCCATTCCTTGCGGATCCCCGCCCCTTTTGACCACCTCCTCCTGACGGTTGTCCCTCGCCATCATCCGGATCGTTATCGTCATCCTATTCGCCGCCCTTGCCACCACCCATTCCTCCCTCGCGGCCCGACCCCCCAGCGTTGTCATCGTCCTTGTCCCCTCCCTCGCCACCACCGCCGCCCCCCTTGCGGCTCGACCCTCCATAGTTCTTCTCCTCACCCCCTGTCCTTCCACCCCCGTCTTTGCTTTTCCCCATCCTGCGGCGCTCCTCTTCAGCAGCTGCAATCGCTTTACGCTCCGCGAGCCTCCGCTCTTCATCCTGGCGGCAGGTCGGAGAGCAACTGAACAAAATCAACATCACGAAGCGCAACCACAAACGTCCACTGCTCGCGGAATAGTTTTGATATGAGTACGATGACGAATGTGACAAAATATACAACGGAAAAACAACGGAATAAAAAAATTATGTACGGCAAACGGGGGGTGAACGGGATCAATGACAAGGCTACAGACACGAATCGCCGCTACATTACACCTGGATGCGATCACCTTCCTGTTTGCTCACTTCTTCGACACCCGAGCCCCAAAGACCCACCTGCCGCTTGTTGAAGCACTCCTTCTCCAACGCGGTTACCTCCGCCGCGGAAGCCAGCGGGATCTGCGGACGCCGTAGAAATTTCGCATCGGGTAAACATCAACGCCATACCGTAGGAAGAAGCATTTCACTCAGGATTTCCAAAACTGTCACAAGGTCCCTACGCCGTCCGGTTCTCGTTAGGTCGGTCTGCCAAAATTGCAATCGGCCTCTAACTCCCTGTCGGCTACCGTAACACATCCCAACAATGCCTCGAATTCCAACGGCCGGCACAAAATGGGGCAAAGAACGGATGGAACGTCGGTCTGGAATAACGCGCGTTGAGGCACACCTCTGCGCCGCACCGCTACCTACGAATGAAGGTCGACACTCACGAAGTACGTGCCCGTTATACATCTGTAAGCGGCCTGCCTCCGCCTGAGCTGCTCTTGCGCCTGGAGTTCGGACGTTGGCATATTTTTCAACGCCGTGGCAACGGTATAGGCAACGGAGAGAACCGGGAAGCGGTGACGGGAAGAACAACATCGGCACCGGTAGACCGGGACGCGGGCAGGCAACACAATGAAACGCCACGTGCCATTGGCAACGCGGGAAATGAACGACGTGTACTTGTACGCGATGTAACCTTGCCCTGCGCGTCCGCCAGTTCCGTGCAGGTATGAGGAGACGACGGTGAACCACCCGAGTCCCCTACAGCTTCTTTGAGCCTCGCCTCCGACTCCTTGCAGTCGTCTTGTGCCAAGCGCACAAGACCGGCCATCCTCGTGACAGCAGCTTCGTGATTTTTCGCGGTGTTGTCGTGAGACAGAGCCACGAAGTGGTTCAACTCCCTGATGCGGCCACCGTTGAGACGTTTGTACTCGTGGGTGTCGCTGCACTGGGGTCTGTAGTCCGCGCTCGAAACATTCGTCATAACAACATGAACGGTCTGACGTCCCGGGTCCGGTGCGACCAGCGGTTGGAACAGGGTCCACTGCCACTCTCCACCGTTGACGTTCTGGACGCTGGTGACTGCGAATTATGGCATGCAACCGACACGC